CTACATTGGTGAATATTCAGGATGGACAGGATGGAGTTTAGCAACCACGAGGTAGGCTGTCATAGACCGGCAGCCTAAATACCACAGATAAATGGCCGCTGGCTGCAGAATGAAGACAAAATCACCCAAAGTTATGGCCCATTGTGTACAGGCTTTATAAATTGGACGCCTTGAAACATTTCCATGCATATTCTGCTACTTACGATGACATCATGATCGGTAAACGTGTCTTCTGGTTCATAGCTCACCTACCGCGATTAGCCCCACCCCCCAATTTTGATGCAACTAGAACGCAGTATGTGTACAGATTCGTTTGGGTTATTGGAACTTTGTATAACAAATAAACCGCTTGAGTTCTGGATCGATTCTGAGCTTATGTTAGGAGCTTGAAGCTCAAATCCGCAACTCCTGAATCGAACCGAAAAACTACATGGCGTTTGTCAGGATGTAATTGATTATTTCCAATTCGCTCCCATCTCAAGCATCCTAGGAATAATGCTTGTTAGAACTAATGCTGGTTAATGTGTGAAAGTTGAACAATTACTGTCTTGGTTCACCTAAACCCAGTTGAATCTAGGAACCACTGCGGTGTAGCGTGATAGGTACCACAGCTAGAGTATACACCTTTATCAGCGGAAAAGGAGGGGATGATGTGGCATAATTTCACAAGTAGAAATCTGGCCGAAAATGGTTTGGGAAATGTTGGCTCATGCAGCTAAAGAGCGTATTCATGAAGGGAAATAAACCGGAGGCGATCGAGTGTATGGCCTAGATACTGTGCCGCTTGTAAATTTCAAGAGTCGGCTCCAGTGTAGCCTCATTCACTCGTTCCATTCACAAAATCTTTTACAACCAACATGGCGATATCGCTTACCTAGTAAAGAACAAACGTCAAGGTGATTAGTTTACAAAACAGTGTGGTTACTCAGTTTCTTCGTAGCATCTCACCAACTGCTGTACGAAAAGGGGACGACGACACCACACAGCCCATATACCTTATGTTACCGAATATAAGTCGATACTTTTTGGACGATTTTCCGTTTCCGCTTTGGGGGGGGGGCGGCTCATATAACGGCTATACGGAAGTTTAAAAAAAGTCACATGCAAAATCCACCCAGGAATTCACTGTCCATCACCGTCTTTATCTCCCCTTAGCACCATCCGCTAGTGACGGACGATATAACAGGCGGGGATTTGATGTGCCTATAACTGGGCAACTTACTTCGTGCCACAAATTCTCTACAATAGTCCATAATGTTACCAGCTTTCCGAGCATTTGAGCCATGACCGGTACGCACTTAAGCGCATGTAGGAAAGCACAGCTTCCGTAATGCTTGTCCGGCTATCCAATTGGCAATTTATCTTGGATAGTTAAACTGCCAGCATGTCTGGGCCTGCGTTTGGGGGCACCTAATCGTGTGTGAAGCCATGGATTTTGTTCTACCCGTTACTGATGCATGCAAGACTTTCATCGAGAGATGCGCACAGTGAGACATGCATGCGTGCAACAGCTACCCCAAATTTGACGGCTAGGCGTGCGCTCATGTATGTCATGCAAACCCACTAATGCGTCCAGTCTTGTCTAGTACTCCCACTTGATTGTTTAGGCATTCACCGCCAAATGAGATTTGTTTGTGGTGCTGGATCGGAGCTATCGATTCTTCGACCGGTTCATGTGGTCTCAATGCACGCATCTGTTGATGAAAGCCATGCATGCCAGCAAGGGGTAGAACAAAATCCATTGCTCCGCACAATGTTGGGTGCCCCTCAAACGCAAGCACAGGTATGATGGCAGTTTCTCTATCTGACATAAATTGCCCATTTGATAGCCGGACAACCGTAACGGACGCTCTGCTTTCCTATATGCCCTTAAGTATGTACTAGTCATGACACAAATGCGCGGAAATTTGGTAACATTTCGGACCCACTGTATATTGCTTATTTGAGGTTCGCGACAGATGACAATAGCGAATCCAAAGCCCTTAAACTTTATGTTAAGCCAGGCGACCCGGTGCCTTAATAGTAACACGTCGTCCCACACCCCTGGCCTTGAATTTCGCTTTCACCAACAGCTCTATGTGGCTTATATGCACGAGGCCCCCGAGTACGCGAAGTGACCTGTGACACATGTTCCCAGCTGACCCTATATTGTCGGCTGACTCACCTGTTTCATGTGACTTGACGTCTGATCAATTCACCGTCCAGTGCGATGAAAGTCTGTTCTGACAGCAGTACGCCCCATTAACCGCGATTATAACATTACGGTCCCCAGAACTGACCAATAGTAGAGCAAGTTTTACTTGAACTCACTCAAGTGAGAGCAGGTAGTGATAACATCAAAAGCGCATAGAAGTAATTTCGTTCCTCTTCTGCTGATTTGTTAAGGGGTCGGCTAATACAGGGACTTACGACTTTGAACTGATTTGATGTTAGTTATGTTGTTGGCTTATCTATAGACTATATTCGGTAGTAGATGGTAAATCTGAACGTTACTAGCAATTCGCAAGTACTGTTGACTGTGGATGACTAGATTGTTTACTGTCGAGCACGTTGCGTTAATATCACCAACCCATAAAGTAGCTCCGACACAACGCAATAGGGGATTTGGGGTCTGAAAAGAACTTCAGTTATCACTTCAATAGGAAATGCAGTCAACATTAAGATTACTTGTCGCAATCCATCCGCACAACGTCTACTTCAAAACGACCCTCCAATCAGACATGCACCGTTGTGTTAAGCGCTGACTGTCGCGACCCGTTGGTTTAGGGGTAGCGGTTATAACTAACATCCCATTGCTCCCGGGTTCGATGTCTGCTGTCTTTAGCTGATGGGAGGAAATAACATGGAAAATGTCAGAGGAGTGCAGTGTTTTCGGAAGCGTAACACCCGATTTCTATCTAGTTCACCTAGGGACCTCGTGTTCTAAACACCCATGTTTATTTCAATGGGAATCGCGGTCAACATTGAGATTGCTCGTCCCAATCCATCTACACAAAGTGTACTTCCAATTGGCCCTTGAATCTGTCATTAATTGTTGTGGCAAGCTTTGCCGTCGTGACCCGGTAACTTAGGGGTAGCGGTCGCAACTGAAATGCCAATGGTCCCTAGTTCGATACCTGTTATCTCCATCTGATGAGAGCACCTGAGATCGAAACCCGTCATTGGAGTGCAGTGTTTTTAGGAGGTCAACACACATTTTCACACTATCTCAGTCTTACTGATGAGCAGAGTAAACACTTTAGTGATTTTGTCTACTATGCTGAACAAATTTTCCCTGTTTTTACCAACGACGAAGCATAGTAGACAACCGTGAATTAGTAACTTACAGTGTTTGCAAGGGGAATATCATTTTCGATCTAGTGCATCGGATAATTAAAATTACAGAAAAAGTTAGAAAGCCTCTCGGTTTCTCTAAGCTAAATCTAAATGAGAAAAACCGTAAATTCTGTAAATGCATAGCATGTTAGCTATCGGTGTCTTGGTCACTCCGACTATGCTACCTGGCCAAAATGCACGCACTTAACGAGAAAGGTAGAAAGAACAGCGTTGACAAACACTGGTCACAAATTTTGATTTAGATAAGCCAATCCGTTGTTTGCAAACTTCTAGTTTCAGGAACCTGACTGCGATAGTTTCGGTCTTGGTTATCAGGCATTTCCAGGGTGTTTGGTGTAAGGATCTGGGGTGGTACAAAAGGTTTTGTAGGAGCCAATCGCCACTCTATCTCGTAGCCCTTTCCAGACAAATACTCAAGAACAGAATTGTTATGTTTATCCCTTTGCATGCTGCTAGTGATCTAGTGCAGTGTTGAGCCATCAGTTTAGACAAGTGATAGGTCGCGTGTCTGAGGCACCTCACACCACAAGTTCAAGTAAATTGATGTGAAATTACGGATTATGAATGGATTAGAAGTCAATCCCAGGCGCTGAGAAATAAACAGGCTAGTGTGGACAAGCAATTTTGGATTGACAGCTAGGATTGTCTAGGCTATTGCAGCAGAACCGATCCTCCTGATCAGCGCAGAAGATTCACTTGTAAGGAAACTGGTCACCTACTCTTTGCACTTAAGTGGCAGCCATGGTGAACTGGGGTGTTGTAGAGTGCTTTTTACTAAATTGGAGAGTATACCCTTGCTCCTGCAATGTACTGAGGGCAAGTTTAGTCTCACTGTCCAAACTCTAAAGACTGAGAATGGCTGTGGCACTATAGAAGACACAATGGGCTATTCTCCGCTCACTTTTCTGTGGTACAATTCTCAAAATTTGTTATAAGTGCCTACACGCTTCGACTTGTTTGAAGGCAATTCTGTCAATTATTGCATTTTCTCACAATAGCACGTTTAGAGAGACCAAGTCACTCTCATTTATAATTTCACAGATAAATTTTAATGATGAATACACGCCGTTGAAATTATTGTTTTAGAATATTTAGCAATCGATTGCCGTCGGTGGAAGCGTTACAGCATATGAATGGGTCTCTCGTATATCGATCATACAAATCATATGTAGCAACCGTGTTACTAAGTAGTGCACGCTCAAGTTGTAAACGCCTGATGATATTTTAAAAAAGTATATTCTTCGTGTGAAGTTCTGATTTAATGGAGATCATCTGTGAGATAAGGATCACTTGGAGTTGGTTTACTGGTTACTCTGCAATGTGACAAGCCTCATCGCGCTCTCTTAACCACTGTAGCTCAAGGGGCCAACAATGCTGATGTACCTAGATTGCCCAATCCAACTTCATAGCTTCTGTTCAGAGGTGTTTGCAAAGAGCTAACAAGCACAAGTATTGTGTTAATACTGAATGTAAAAGATCTCAAACCGTTCACTGGTCGACAATCAGTCAGAAACATAGAACTGATTTGGGTCATAGCATGCGTGCATAAAATATGCAGCAATTGATATTATGCCACATTTCCGAGACAGTGCTTTCAAACTTAGCGTCTGTCTTGATTTACCATTACGTAACTATGATCAGTGAAAAGCTGGGATTCGACTCACCGGACTCACTGACAGAAAAACATGCGTTGGAATTTGAGACATGCAATCCGTCTCTGCTTGGTAATCAGCGTTGATATTGTTGCTTGTCAATTTCGACCACTTTTCAAATAGAGCGATTGTTTTCTGGCTAAATTCATTTTGCGGAAAAAAGCACTGAAATTCAGATGAAAAATTAGTACCAATGAGTATTGTTAATGCGATATCTGTAGTGTTACAGCAGCCACTAGGGTAGTAATAAACGCGTTGCGGGAGAGACTACCGGTTGCGGGATTTTCACGTAACCAAAAACCCCGGAGTATCAATGCGTTCTGGCCACCCATCTTTTTTAACCCTGGTCAGTATTACATATTGGATCTGTATGCTACGCAACGCAAGAGGAATTAAGGACTAATGTCAGACAGAAGTCATTTGCCTCGTAGATTTATGCAAATCGTCAACAAACAGCTACCAACTTCGAGTAACTGAGAACAAGTACTAGTATTTAGTTCGAGTTGAATTCAACGCCGGTTGCGTTCCGGAAACAAAACTCACTTTTGGGATTCATAAAGAGCAGGTGGATGGCTGGTTCGCTTTAACTGCTTAATACATTTCATATCTGCTACGGGGAGTTGGTATGGCGGGAAAGTACACAATATTCACCAGCTTTAAAGCAACTTCCACACGTATATACTCACGCGTACTTCAGTTCGTTGTTGCCTGGGAACTTCGTTTTATAGTTTGCTTCAGAGAGAAGAAGTGGAATACATCAGGATTTACGGAAACACTAACACCGAAGACGTTCCGGTGAACAAATACCACGGTGGGATGAGCTGGGTCTGCGAGAAGTGGATCATACTAAGGAAGATTGAAGCGTAAGCTTTAGCATAATCACCTACCAATGATCCACTCTGGTTGGATGGCACATAAGAACGCTTGCATCGGAACGTATAACTGTCCGTCCCCGCTACATCCGCTAGCTGAGCGAAACCATGTTCTAGCACTCCAACTATCTGCATTTGGCACTGTGATGAAAGTTAATTTCATTTATTTAGATACGGTTTATGCAAGGTTACCAAATCGCCGCGAAACAATTCAACAATGAAATGACAACATTTCCACTGTGTCCATGCAATGATAACGTCTGTTTTACTGTGTGCTGTCCCGAATGGATGGAACTATTCATATGTTAGACTAATTGTTTGCTAAGTTTGACAATTTCGTTGCAAACATTTCGTCACCAGTCGAGGTTAAATCACCAGTGGGATAGTGCGTAGTGATGCGTAAGTGGCAACGGGGTGGCCACGCGCGTACCTTCTTAGGTATCCATGAACGGTCGTTTGGGCATATGACCTTTAAAAATGGACTCTTCAACCCATGCTTCGTGATCATGGTCCGTTCGTCTCCGCGGTTGACGATGCTGCCTGAGCTATTTCTGTGCTGTCCTTTATCCTTAAGGCTATTCGACTGCGGTGGAGGCGCTTTGCTCGCTGATTTGCGCAGATTGCGTCCAAATCAATGCGTGCATTTGCCATTCTTCGTCTTCTTACTGCGCTTTCCAAATCAATGTGTCTATTGGTTGGATATTTCGTGGAGTGCTGTGCTTCAAAGAAATCTCTTACAACCTTCGTTTTCCCATGTGCTAGTATCTTCACCTTTTTATGGTCAAAATAACCGGATTCTTCATCGTGTATCGAAGCCAATGAATTGGGGTCATGCCTACTTGTTGTCTTCTTATGCTCTGTGATCCATGTGGAAAGCGATTATCTTGTTCGTTCGACGTGGTGCTTATCAGCAGAAAAAGACGCACACGAATCAAACGTTGAACAACCACAGTGACCACCAGATGAATTACAAAAAGAACTACATCTAAATTCGATTCAATAGAGAGGCAAAAAGCTGTAGCACGCTGGAATTGAGAAATACGGAGGAGAACCGTCCGTACCGCGTGTTAGCAAAAGACGGATATGCACAAAACCTGAAGAGGAAAACTCTTTAGCTATGGCCAGAACTGATAGATAACGGATAGTGCTTCCTATCTCACTAACGCTACTGAAATAGTAGCATGATTACTTCAGTTACACCGAGTCACCGTAGCACACAAACGAAGTGCCGCCCTGAGGAGGTTGCATATAGGACCGAAGGACAGTCAAACCCATGTAATCTACCAGATAAACTGTCGCGAACGTGATTTGCAGTACATCAGACGAACAAGAAAACTTTCACGACACGGATCAAAGATCATAAGAAGATATGATATGGTTTCGATACACGACGATGAAGCTGGTCATTATTTTGATCTAAAAATGTGGATTCTAGCACATGGGAATGCAAAAGGCAAGAGAAGTCTTAGAAACATAGCACTCCACAAATAATCCAAACAATAATCATTTTGAATTGGACGCCACTTGGGCAAATCCACGAGCCAAGGACCACCGCCGCAGTCGAATGGCCTTAAAGGAAAAGGACACCATAGCAATAGCTCAGCAGTATTTTCAGCTGCGAAGGCAAACGGATCATGATCACGAAGTATGCGTAAAAGAGTCAATTTTCAAAAGTCATATGCCCAAACGACCGTTGATGAATGCGTATAAGGAAGCACTCACGTGACCACCCAGTTCACTCTTACGTATCGCAACGGTATGCTACACACATCACACTGATGATCTCACCTCTACTGGTGCCGAAATTTCTGCAACAAAATTGTCAAGCTTAGCGAACAGTTCGTCTAACGAGTGAACTGGCCCAACTATCCACATTTCCCTCCAAATCGGAAACATTCCTGCATTAAAACTGGTGGAGAGCAAGCGTATATATTTTATGCGCGATGCGTCGTCTGTTCGCGTGTGCTAAGATTATCCTTCTGGTGAATTCCTTACTAAAACACGTGTTAAAAACGGTTTCTTGGACACGGCCGTGCTGGGACCACACAGAATGTTTGTTCATCATTCGACTTTGATAAATCCTTGATGTTCACTGAGGGAATAAACCTAACATGTAAACCTTCTAACATGAAGAGTTATTGTATGAACAAATGCTACTGGATCAAAGATAATTCGAATAAACCAACTGCTCTGTGGAAATTTCCCTAGCGTGGTTGAGAAACTGTTCGAAATTCCCAGGAGACAAGTCGCAACAATGACCCTGCCTGAATTCATACGATTTACACTGGAGGATTTGACAGTCAGTTCACAATCGAGCGATGTTTGATGAGAGTTCAGATATTCCTTATTACGGCCAATGCAGATTATGTATCTTGCGCGGATAATTTGTGTGTCAGTCATCGTATTAGATAATACTTGGTATTAAAGAAATGCGAATTGAAATGGAGACATGGTACTGCAAAGAACTAAGTGGTCGATAAGCTTATGTCTAGAGAATCCGAAGCAGATCCACATATAGAAAACTGTAGTAGGCTGCTAAGTAGCATTCATGGACGACAGTCTGAAAAAAAAGATGCCGATGTCTTCGATCTCTATGGAGAAAGATGGTCACTGAATGACACAATGGTGTCGTTACATACAGCCGAAAATAAACGGACATTTAATCAAGCAGGAGTCAACGGGAGAGTCCATTAGCTTAAAACTGGTTAGTAATAATAAACAGAGACAGACAAATTTGATCGATGAGTAGCGTGTCACCGATAAGTGTGTGTGATGATAATCCCGAAGACTTTACACGTGGATGCCGTGTACCTCAAAACAGATTGAGTAGAATTTCGGTTAGAACAGGCCCATCATCAGAACTAGCACACAACCTGTACCGACAGCAGGTAGTGTCTTTCATAATCATCATTCTATGCTGGAACTCACTTGAAGTCATACAATGATGTCCTTTTACCATCTACTGCCCAAGGCTATATCGAATCGCTGAGAAGTTTAACTTTAACGTGCAGAGGTCTACCATTTGGATCGAGAAATGGTGCATCGCTAAAATCTTTTAACGCACATTTGTTTTTTTTTACAATTGCTATTATCAATGACTCACCAACAAGACTTGCGAAACCAGAAGGCCCGTAATAGTACTTTCTTCTTTTCCAGTAGACAAGTTAATTTTAGCACCTTCGATATATTTCGAAGGTAACTGGTTTATGAAAAATTCGAAAATTGGAAGCAATCTTTCTCGTTCACCAATGAAATAAACCCTTTTTGAGCTTTCATTTACACAAAATTCCTTTGCTCTTAAAACAACAATGTAGCATGTGTACACGACTCACTGTGGGGTGTATGTGTGCATCGCGCATCCGAAAGGGGTCCAACGTCGGTACTGATCCACATATCCTTCACTGAGCATTGGAGCACATGGATGTTGGTCTGCAAAGAAGGCAGTGTGACTGAGCTACAGAGTGATCCTACCTACCGGTATGCCTCCTTCTGTAAGCATGGTATACTATGATGAAACAGATAACCAGTAAAGTGGTGACATGGAAAATCCTAGGGAGCGATACAAGAGGCATCGAAAACGATCGTTCTCGTCAAATTTTTTGATAATGTGTGCTGAAGTGAATCTCTTAAGGCAAGGGCTCTTTGACCAATCAGATGGAAAGAAGAACAGGAAGTATTAGACAACCAGCGAGAAGCCTCCATTGATTAGTTGACTAGGCCATTCACTCGTGGCACAACCTCCTAGTAGTTCACCTAAGCAGCTTTCACAAATTTAACCTTGGTGTGGAAGCATCACTCGATAAGACAAGGTCAAGTTTTCTACCAGATCATTTATTCAAAAACACTTTTGTTTTCACCTCAGTGGCGACAAGGGAGGTCAAACTGTCCAATCAAACGCTGACTCAAATTGACTGACTTGTGTTTTCTTGTAGGTCCCCTAAGTCATTTTAACAGATTTTTCAGGTGACCACGGTGATTATTTTAGTTGGCGGTTACCATATCCACGGAAGGACGCTGTGCGTATGTACTGCCAAATAAATCTTAGCTGGAGTAGACATGACACTTGCTTGTTTGACTCTCTTCTATCATTCAAGGGCTTGACGATGACTGCATGTTCCTGACGCCACATGGCGACCATCTGGGGGAGATGGTCTTGTACTTCTCTTGGCTGCTGTTCTTGGCCCTTTGAGTTGTGTGAGTCATCCTCTGAGCGAATGAAGAGGATAACTTACGTCGTGCCGACCTACTGGAGTTTTGAATATGATTCCTAAGTCTTAATTAAGACACCAATTTTGGAGCTTCCAGCTCTGACAGTAACCGCAAACTTCCTGTAAGCAGTGTGTCAAGAGCCTAATCTATTCATTGTACAACACTGTTTCGCGTACATTTGTTTTTGCCGAACGTTATTCGCCATATCGGGGGGGATTGGCCAAAAATGTGCCAAAGGCAGCCGATTTGTCTGAATGCGAAGCGTAGTGTCGTGGTTCTTAGTAGGTATGCCGTTTAAACGGAGATGGAGAATCACTTTGCATTTGAGGAGGTTGACACCTTATTTAACAAGTTTAGGTAGAAAAGCATGAAATTCTTAATGCTTAAGGGATTCCTCCCGGGTCGCAAAACAACTGCAGACTTTGGCTGGCGTCTTGGATATATAGTAGTAATAGACACCGATGTGCCATCTGCCACTGACTCTCAAGTATTGCCCTCAGGGCATATTTTGGACCACATGATGCCTCGAGAAGGCTTTGTGGAGGAACGCAAGAATATCCTTTGCTCATCTCAGTCAGAGTATGTCAGAAGTTCACTGGTTCCAAGGCGCACTGATGTCCGACACGATGGGTTTGGTAGTCCCCTTAAAGTCTTCTCAGAGGTCTTATCCACATCATATGAAAATAGATCCCCAAGTTTCGCATAAGAAAGATAGGTAGAATATGGAGCTGTTGCGTCATCCTATCCACCATCCAAGCTAGCATTTGCATCCTCACCTAGGTTCCATAATTTTGCTAAGTATGTACGAGGTTTAAAGCCGAGCAATATGATACTAAAAGAGGCTGGACTGGCTTTCATCAACTTAATGGAAAACTGCTTCTCTCTTTAGGTGGAAACCTAGCAAGCGGCCTTTCTCAGACCCATACTAACCATTAGAAAAAGGATTTGCAAACAGACCTACGCTATGATCCAAAGTCATTGTCAGACAATAAGTACGTTGCTGCGCGGTGCCTCTTGGATGTTACCTGGAGGGGAGACTACAAATTTAACAGCTTTGGTGGGTCGGATCATCAGGCGCACTTAGCAGAGCTTTCCAACGCAATAATCGCTGCTGACTGTAGGCCAAGTGTTATCTGACTCTATGTTCGAATTGTTAGAGACCATTTAATCATCTGCGATAGAGACGGCTCTTAAGCACAAAACAACGGCCGCGCCAGGACCCCACACGCTCGTTGTTACCGTTTTGATAACCTAGAGTCATGAGGTTCCGGCACAGCTTGTCAACTAAATGCTTCTACTCGAATATTCCCTACCATTCTGATCGCGTACGTCTCCCTGATGCCTAAAGTCGTAATTCCTGCGCATACAAGAGAATTCAGACCGGCAGTTGTTGCTTCGTTTATCTTCCGTGTGTTGCACAAAGCAGTCGAAAGAAGATCGCGCGACATCGCCTCCTTCTACTCTCTTTAACAGGACTTTATGAAAATGGATGTATGTTTAGAGGCCACGTACACGTTGCAAAGCATATTCCTTTCAGGTCGTTCAGAAACAAGAGGATGTTTGTTGACTTTTCTGCATACCATAGTGGCAGATGAGGTTTTTCACAACGGGATTATACGTGCGATCATTCGTTACGGGACCCCGCTGCTAGTTCTTTAGCTCACTCCAATGTTCACAACATCTGTGTTGTTAACTGGAACAAAGACGTGGTTTTGAAACGGTGTGGAACAAGATGCCGTAATTTTACCACCACACATTATGCTGTTAATAGACGAGATCCTCACTTACACCTGATCGAGGTAAGGATTGGCATTCAACGACCCATGAATGGTAGTGCATTGGCCTATGCTGACGAATATTCTTCTCTGTGAGTGATTAATATGAGATGCAACTTATACCTAAATGTTTGCAATTAGGATTATACCTGGCATGCATAAGGCCGAATACATTCAGGTGTCGTGGTATGACGACTAAAAAAGGGGATTCCAAAAACTTGGTTCCTCTCCCTAAGGCCTAAAACTAGTTGGGGGCATGAGTGGTTTTCCGAATGTGATGTCACTAGTCGCGAAAGCATTAGAGCCTAAACTTTCCATCCTCCCAACAAGTGGAAATCTTGTTGAAAAGTCAAACACGAAAGTTATGACCCAACGGGACCGGATTTGGCGTGTTAAAAGCTCTACAAGCCCATAAAATTGGAGGGCATCCTTAGTTCCAAGCGGGCTACTGTACGCTCTTGGTTTGCGATGACAAGTTGACGCAACAACAGGAGCAGGCGAAACGATTCTATTTTGAGCACAATCTTCTTTACAAACACGTAAATAGAATCCAGTCAATTACTGCGGTTGGCGGGTACACGCATAAAAGGAGAGGGGGGCCATTGTCTTACTGGTCCAGTACTCACTTTTCAAGGGTAAATGGCTCATACACTATTTTTAATTCGAACACTCCACCATCGGGTTTACTCAAAGTCACATTCAATGCAGAAAGGATGCGGAAAAACCTTCTGTCCTTGCGTACACACAGCTCTGCTGGGGCAGGTAACATTTACCCGAATGCACTGTAGGTAACAGCCATTAATTTAACCAAACCGCTAACGTTGTCCAGATGATAATATAATTACGGGAAAGTGAAAACGCGATATTATCGCAATTATTCACCAAAGCGAAAGTCGTTCTGAGCCTGTCTGTTATTGTGCGATAGGCTTCCCCTATGGTATCCAAGACCATGGAAACGTTCATCGCAGACACACTGATGGTCCGCTTGGAAAGTTACGACATCACCACACCAGAGCAGCATAACTTTCGTCAACATCCATCATGAACCACCATTCTGCCGATAACACAAGATAATTGGACATATGCAGTCGACCAGGAGAGATGAGTCAATGCTAAATACTTGGACTTTCCAAAAGCGCTCGAGCGATTGTATCATGGTGTCCTGCTTCAAATATTAACAAGTATGGCGCCGGTGATCCATTGTTGGAACTATTCGTCAGTTAGAGGTTAACTTACAAACATCTCTGTTCTACCCGATGTGAGTAGATTGCGGCGTACGGTAGGGTTTGGTATTTAGTCCTCTCTTGTTCTCAATCCTCATTAACCACCTGGCAATGATTAATACCTCAAAATTGTTATTCCTCAAGGTCGAGGTTAAAGTTTAGCTGCCAATGAGGGAATTGGACGATCACGAAATCCTCCAGCGTGACCTCGGTGAGGCCTGGAATTGGCCAATGGGGAACCCACAGCTTATTTGCATTGGAGAGTGACCAAGTTTTTCACAACCGACTTCCACACACCTACGTCTAGAGGTTTGGGGCACATGATCTGAACAACACTATTTAGGAACCTGACTTCGGCACTCTGGCGCAGGACTATTTCGGATGTTCCACACAGTCCAAAACTACTTCAAAAAGAGGTTAGCAGCAGGTTGGTCTCATGTGGGGGGTATATGCGAATATGGATGCAATCTTTTTTTCAGATGCTTATTGCCTACGTGGGTCCCCACGTCGAATACGCAATCCAGGCTCGGCAACATTGGATAAAGCGTGACCTTGCAGGACACGACATTCCAGATGTCGAACAACGATATGTGTTATGCGATTGCGCGTACTTCCGTACCAGGAACTAGTATAGATTACTGGCGTGTTCAGTGGACCTTACCGAAGCCTACATAGGGACATCATATTAATATAAGAATTACTGAGCAACCCCGGTCACGCAAGCCGACAGCTCAAAGGCCATAGCCTGAAATTGCGTCAGGAATACAGCCTTCTACATTGCAACGAAGTCACCACTCTCTCCAGGTCTGCCATACTTGGAAAGCCATACCAAACTCCGTTGGCTGCGCCCCCACATTAACCAACATCAAAAAGAAGCGGTTGGAGATAGCATTGATGTCCGTACACTTTGTCACATGAACGGATATTCTGAGATATATTCAGGCTAATTAGTTTCTTTGGAATTATAACCCAAACTGATTGTGTCTCACGTCGCGTGATCGTGCTGAATAGACGCTCACCAGGGTTTGGATTTACCACCCGCAATACTCAGGTCAGAATACTGCGTTTACACTTGTCCAATTCGGATATATCAGCGTAATCCAGCGGACCCACAGCAACAGGATAGTCAAGCATACAACGTCAATACAGCCGTCATTGTACGTTCAACGAGACTTCTACAGCCATCCCGCAGCGCCAAACCC